GATAATTATCCTAATTATATTTTAGATTTTTTATATTTTAAAATGGAATGTTTATCCTCTATTTGATTATATTTATCCGCAGTTAGTTACACAGATTCAAACATGGAGCTTTAATAAGCTGTATTTATGCATAATTTACTTGTAATCTTGAATTTTAAGTAATATGCATCAATATACAATACTTAATGCATAAAAAATAGTTTTAAAAAGTTTTCGTCAAATGCTTTATGATATAGTATAAATATATATACATTCATACTTGAGTAGAGTTAATTTTGATTCCTAACATTTTCAATTTGAACGGATGGTCTCTAACTTTAAAAACTAGATTTGGTCCCTTACGTTATAGTCGTTAGATTTTTCTATAAGTCCAATTAAACGAGTGTTTTAGTTATATTTTCCACTATTTTCTTAATTTTATATTAAAAATAAAAAATATAATATATAATATATTTTTAATTTTAAATTGTAAAAAAAGATAAACAACCCCTACCACACTCTTCATATCCACGCCACCGGAAAACCTTCACCACCAAATACAATATAAGTTTTTTCAAAATTTAATATAAAATAAAAAAAAAAATAGTGAAAATTAATAAAATATCCCATATTTAACCAAACTTAATAGAAACAGTTAAAAAATAACAAAAACTGGGAAGTTTCAAGTGTAATAAATAGTCTTACAGGTCTCACGAAAACATGATGATCTCACGTGAACCCAACCTTACACACACATACACACACACATATATATATATATACACACACACATACGCATATATGTACACATATGCATATATACACATACATATATATAAGTGTGTGTGTGCACTCACGAGCGCATGTCTAGACTTACGTAATATATATATATTTTTAAATAAAATATATCGTGTATTAAAATAAAACTTAAAGTATAATAATTAATATATATTAAAGTATAATGATTAATTAATTTAATAAACTTAAAGTATAAAAAAATTATTAATTTTTTATTTTTTGGACTTAATTACGGATTTGGTTTCTATAGTTAGTTTGATTTTTACGAAATTGATCTCTCGAGTAAAGATAAAAAAGGAAAAGAACAAAATGCCCTCAAAGCTAAAGGAATAAATGAATTGCCGTTAGAGAGAGGGACCAATTCATTACAAAACGACATACGATGAGTCATAATATGTAATAAATGTACTTCAAGGACCATTTTTTTAAACATCACAAAACCGTAGGGACCAAATCCATAATTTACCTAAAATTGATTTTTTATTTTTTATTTAAGGTGACGTTTGGTTCGCAGAATGTTTTTGGATGAAATGAAATCTGTTAGAAATTTAACTTTGAAGAAATTAGAATGAAATGTTGTTAGATTTGACCACCTGTTCGGTTGACATATATTAGAATGTAATATGTTAAATAATTAGAATATGTCTGTTTGGTTTACAAAATATAGCTTTGGAATTGACTGGAATATTGGTAAATGGATAAAGGGCAAATTGCATGAAAAAGTAACGTACTTTAACTTGATTCCTATTTTGGGTAACGTACTTTCAAAACTTTCATTTTGGTACCTACTGACAGAGCAAATTGCATGAAAAAGTAACATACTTTAACTTGATTCTTATTTTGGGTAACGTACTTTCAAAATTTTTATTTTGGTACCTAAAATGTAAAGTTTTAAACATTTAAGTACCCGGGTAACTAGTTGAAATATTAACCGATTATCATGTTGATATGACGAGTGATGTGGTATCAAACTCAGTATTATTTGCTGACGTGGTCAGTGACGTGGATTTTTTAAAATCTAAAATTAGTTTTTTTTAGTCTAAAATTAGTCTTTCTGGGTTACCCGGGTACTTAAATGTTTACAACTTAAATCTTAGGTACCAAAATGAAAGTTTTGAAAGTACGTTACCCAAAATATGAATCAAGTTAAAGTACGTTACTTTTTCATGCAATTTGCCCATGAATAAAATATATTTTTTTTGAAAATTTTAATTTTTTTAAAACTAAAAATAATTTAATAAAATAATTATATAATATGTAAAACAATTTAAAACCCACAACTCAAATATAACCATAAGTCAAACGACGTTACTAAATCGATGGTGGTGGTCTACGATGGTTCAGATCGATGGTGGTCCGCAATGATTTAGATGACGGTAGTCGGCAGTGGTTCAGATCGATGGTGGTCCACTGTAGTTTAGATGGAGGTGGTTAGTGGTGGTTTAGATTGATGGTGGCAGTTCAAATCGGTGGTTGTTCAAAATAGTGGTGGTCGGCGATGCCTGACAGTGATTCAGATCGATGGTAGTCATCGGTGGTCGACAGTGATTTAGATAGGTGGTGGTCCGTGGTGGTTTAGATCGGTGGTGGCAATTCAAATCGGTGGTTGTTTGAAACGGTGGTGGTTGGCGATGCCTGACAGTGATTCAGATCGGTGGTAGTCATCGGTGGTCGATAGTGATTTAGATATGTGGTGGTTCGTGGTGGTTCAGGTGGCGTGGTCGGATGTGGTTCAAATCGGCGGCGGTTCAGATTGATGATGGTCGGTGGTGCCCTCCGGTGATTTAAATTTGTAGTAGTTGGAGTGATTCAGATCGATGGTGGTCCGTGACAGTTTAGATGGTGATGGTCGACAATGGTTCAAATCGGTGTTGGTCCATGGTGGTTTAGATGGCGGTGATTGACGGTGGATCAGATCGACGGTGGCCAGCGGCGGATCAGATCGGCGGTGGCCAGCGGTGGTTTAGATTGGTAGTGGTTGGCGATGGTTCAAATCAACGGTGGTTCAGATGGTGGTGGTCAACGATGGTCATATTGGGTTTTACGAGATTAAGGTATATTATGTTAAGAACATATTTGATATTATGAAGATAGAGAATATCATTTCATCAAAATACCACGTAGTTTATAAAGAATGTTAAATTCATTTATTTGTGGATTTTGTAGGATTTTAAAAATTCATTTTACGGAAACGAATGAACCAAACGAGGGAATGAAACTTAATCAATGAAATTCAACATTTCAATTCCATCAGATTTTTTTGAGAATTTTTGAACCAAACGAAAGGGATATTTACAATTTTAGCCCTCGACGACGGGCAACCCCACGCTACCGCTGTCTCACAATTATTCTTCCCCCCATCTGTTTTCAAAATTGCAAAAAGGTTTGAAAATCAAAAATCCCCCTTCAACACTCAATCACCATCCCAACAACCTTACACCTCCATTGCACCTTCTCTCAGGTTGCTTTTATTTCCTTTGGATTACTTTGATAGCGATCGTCTTCTATACTGCTTGTTTGCCGGCCGGCCGGCGATTTTGTCTGTGTTATTTTGTCTCACTACAAAGCAATAGCGTCACTTTTGGAACCCTAATCGGACAGTGGTCAAGTTTTTACATGAATACAGTTGGAAGAGTAGGGATGCAGAGATCTGGATCCAGCGGTGGACATCAGCGTCAATACTCCAACTCCGATAACTTCATCGATACCAATTTCAACAATAAATGGCTTCAATCAGCTGGTCTTCATCATCTCTACTCTTCTAATCCTAATTTACCTCCACTCCAGGTATGTTTTGCATTCAATGTTTTCGTGACGTCTTATTCCTTAACAATGTGTAGTTTTGATTGCTTTTCACTGGGTCATGTTAATTAATTGATCATCTTTTACTGTAGTTCTGGAACTAATATTTAATTGCAGCTTAATTTCTGGATTATGTCTATCTTAGACGAACTGATGGTGTATTAGTATTTGTTTATATGCAATTCTTGTGGTATAGATGCTAATTAACGTGCTACTATGCTTTGATAGAGGCGTTTAATGCCTGTGATACTAGGGTTAGAGATGTGTTTTGGACATTAGGTGTTGCTGGTAATTAAGGCGTCATGAAATGATGACGGTGTGATGCAATGCAAGATTAAGGGATCATATTGAAGTAAGCTGCAGATTAGGGATAAGTTTTTGGTATCACATGTCTAGCAAAAAAACATTGTTCCTTCATGTTCATTGTTCACTAATTGAAATCACTATGGCTAATAGATGAGCTTTGAGAATTATACATTTTCTTTATAAAACATTGGTTATGTTCTAGGAGCAGGAATGTAATGAATTGTTAAGTAAATATGTAATTTGATTGAAATTTCAATATAAATCCTAGCTGCCAAGACAGAGAAGGAATTGTTCTTGGATAATATCTTGACTAGTGACTGAATTGGGTGCAGGATTTTGGGTTTTATGGCAATAATGATGTTGAGGGTTCAAGGCTGAACAGGAATTCACAGAGAATTACTAATGCTGGAGGGAATGCAGATTCATTGAATCCTTCAGCTTGTTCACGTTCATCAAGCTTTACAAAGTATGGTAGTGGGGAGGAAGTGTCACTCAATGAATTTAGCCCTGGGTTACTTGATCTTCATGCCATCGACACGGAGCTGTTAACAGAGGTCAGACCGAGTCAAACTTAGTTTTCTTCAGAGAAGATATATGCCTTGCTATAGCGATGCTTATGGAAAACATATATCAATTTACCACCTTGAAGGTAAATTTGAACTTAATATTTTGTTATGTGCAGGTTGAGAGTGAAAACAACTTGAATTTGCTAAATCAACCTTTATATGGTGAAGGTTTTGATGATCTCAATGCTTATGCCTTGACCAGCAAATTTGCTAATATTTCCTGTGGTCCGACTGAGAACAACATTCTTAAGAGCTCTTTGGCAGATAAAGAGAAGGCCAGCAATGTTGCTAAGATTAAAGTTGTGGTATGCTTCCATAATCCATGTGCAACTCTTGATACGTACTTTGCTACTTATGTTCTGTTTGTCTGTCAACTTACAATCAACTTGAAAGTTTGTAGCGCATGCAAATAAGGAGCATAAGTGCCAAATTCAATTTCATTCCTATGATGTTGTCACAACCCTGCTTTGATTTAGTCAAAAGCAAGGTTTTAGGATTCCTAATGCTTTTTGTCTTTTACGTTCCCTATTTTTTAAATATTTACTTTTTAATGCAGGTACGCAAGAGACCACTTAACAAAAAGGAAATCGCGAAAAGGGAGGAAGACATCATCAGCATAAACCCTAATACTAGTTCACTCACTGTTCATGAATCGAAAGTTAAGGTAAGCTCCAGGTGAAGGTCAATTGTAGCATTCCGTTGTTTTTGTCTTTTGATTCTGAGAGAATACCACACTCCTAAAATTTAGCACACAATTGATTTTTCATAAAGTTTGTAAACTAGTATAGAAGTGTTCAAGCTGGAATGAAGCACTGAAATGTGTGACATGGTCTATTAAACTTCACTTATCGCATTTTGAATTTGCACTGGTTTTTTTTCTTGATAAAGTAATGACCACCAGGCAGTCCATTTATTTTACACGTCCTTTTCTTACTTTTTATATAATATTATGGTTCGCATTTGTGTACATAATGGAGACTAATTTAACACCTTTGCAGGTAGACCTGACTGAATATGTTGAGAAACATGGATTTGTTTTTGATGCTGTGATGAATGAAGATGTTACGAATGATGAAGTAGGTGGATTGAAATTGTGTCAGCAACTTCACTGTGCAACATTTGAGATATATCAGCTGATAATGTTCTTTGTGCTGTAGATATACTCGGAAACCGTGCAGCCCATAGTCCCAATTATCTTCCAACGAACAAAAGCAACCTGCTTTGCTTATGGGCAAACAGGTATCCCTCTGGCCCTCGTAGTGATGGTTATTATTACCTTATACCCCCTCCGTCACAAAATAAGTGTCTGCATTTCTATATTTGTTTGTCCCAAAATTTGTGTCCAATGTCCACTTTCAAAAGCAAGTACTTACTTTCCCATTCTATCCTTGACGATTACATGGATAAATTCATTACTCCTATTATTAAGGTTAAATTGTCATTTAGTCCATTATAAAGTGTAATAATTACACATTGTGGACATTTATTTTGGGATGGAGGTAGTTTGAAAAACATCCCTGGTGGTCTATCGCTTGATATCCTACAACTTATGATCATTGAAGAAATTCAGTATCATGTTCATTTGTGTTTCATCATCAAGATCTTATCTTTTGATAATTTAAATGCTCTTCTTCAGGCAGCGGGAAGACCTATACAATGCAACCACTTCCCCTCAAAGCTTCCCAAGATATTTTCAGACTTATGCACCATAGTTACCGAAACCAAGGGTTTCAGTTGTTTGTCAGTTTCTTCGAAATTTATGGAGGGAAAGTTTTCGATCTCCTTAATGATAGGAAGTGAGTTTTTCCCATCATAAACTATATCAACTCCATACATTTATTTTCTGCATCAACTCATCGAGTATTATTTTACAGCAAGCTGTGCATGAGGGAGGACGGGAAACAACAAGTTTGCATCGTGGGCTTGCAGGAGTATAAAGTATCCAATGTGGAGACAGTGAAGGAATTAATCGAGAGAGGTAATGCCACAAGGAGCACTGGCACGACTGGTGCAAATGAGGAATCTTCTCGATCTCATGCTATTCTTCAACTTGCTGTGAAGAGATTGATCGATGGCAATGAATCCAAGCCACCCCGGTTGGTTGGGAAACTATCTTTCATAGATCTTGCTGGAAGCGAGCGTGGAGCAGATACCACAGATAACGATAAACAGACAAGGTGGCTTATTATATGAATTCTTTATAATTTTTGATTGATTTGAAGAAAATGTCGGCCTAACGAGCTTCGCCATATTTTAAACAATAACATTACACATAGTTACACCTCTCTGTCTGTTGGGACAGAGGTAAGGTCTACTTACATCTTAATCCTAGACCCTACCTCCGAGTGGGATATACTGGTTTTGTTTGGTTTGGTATACATAATGCATGGTTAAGCATGTTCTAGGGATGTTCATGTCTAGTACTCCCTCCGTCCCAAAATAAATGTCCAAAATGAAAAAAAGGCACACATTTATAGAAATTTGTAATTATTACACTTTTAATTAACTAAAATGATGATTTTACCCTTAACATCAGAGGGAGTGATGAATTTCTCCACCTCTTTCTAATTGGAAAGTAGGTACTTATTTCGGGACTAGGGGGCTGTTTGGTTTGTTTTCCATTAAGTCCTGTATGGATAAAGATGTATCTGTGTAGTTTATATAAATTGAGAAAGTTTTTGTTTGGGAGGGTTTTCTCATGGATGGAAATAAACTTGTTTTTTAATTGGAGGGGCAGGTTTGTGAAAGACTTGACTTTCTGCATAACCCCCCTCCCCTAAAAGCTTACTGAATAACCCACTTTCTATATCTTTAAGCCTTTACCATTTAAGCTGCTAACAAACAAGCTCTAACTAAGATAGAAATGTGGACACTTATTTTGGGAAGAAGGTTGTAGTCGGAAGCAAAATGTGTTGATTAATCTTGATTGCTGATATTGCAGAATGGAAGGTGCTGAAATCAATAAAAGCTTGCTTGCTTTGAAGGAATGTATTAGAGCTCTTGATAACGACCACGGCCATATTCCGTTTAGAGGGAGTAAGCTGACTGAAGTTCTTAGAGATTCCTTTGTCGGTAACTCACGCACTGTCATGATATCATGCATTTCGCCAAACTCCGGATCTTGTGAACATACTCTAAACACATTGCGATATGCTGACAGGTGACCAAAAACCATTTTCTTTACTTTTTAATATTTTTTGAAGTTATGGTATTTATATACGACAAATACTCACACACACTCTAGGGATGCTAGAATTTGCTGGTAACCTGGATACCACCCTTTGGTTTAAATTTAAATTTCGTGGGCATGCTTATTTGGAAATCGTGAATGTGATTGGTTGATTTTGCGCATATTAGGGTCAAGAGTCTATCCAAAGGTAACAACTCCAGGAAAGATCTGTCATCTTCGACATCAAACCTTCGGAATTCAGTCGCATTGCCTCTATCTTCAGTGCCATCGACAATGACGCGATCTGAAGATGTTAAACTTGACAGATTACCGTATGAAACTAACAGATTTGGATGGACTAAACAAACAGATAGGGAGTTCTCTCCATCTTTAAACATGGAACCTGTTGGAAGATCAACAACTCATTTACCTTCAACTGTATCTCCAGAAAATTACAAAAGTGATTATGGAGGTACAGATGAAGAAGTTATGGAAGATGATTTTGATAATTCCATGGAGACCCATGAACCGAAAAACATGCCATGGATGTCAGGCAACAAAGTGGAGGAAAACCAATTGGAGAAGCCCGGCGCTCAGATGAACCCAGTGGACGATTATAGTGCCCTTCTAGAGGTAACTTCCAGTTCCCTTTCACATCTAGTTACGGATAACATAAAGGGCAAAATGGAACAACGTTTTTGTTCAGTTCCTATTTAGTGTAACGAATAATGAAGGGACCGTTTACCAAACTCTTACTGGGTAAGACCTGCTTTACTTACTGTGTGAGCATGACAATAACCGAGAATCAACCCGGTAAGAGGCATAGAAAAGACCGAGAATCTACAACAAAAACCGAGAATCTTACCCGGTAAGCGCTTAGTAGGTAAAAGACGCTTACCAACAAATAACAATCCATTTTGATGGTAAAAAAATGTTACCCTATAAGGTAAGTGAGTGTGGTGACTTTTGCTGGTAAGCCCCTATGCGGTAAGCTTTTGATAAACAACCCCTAAGTTTCAAAATTTCTTATTTTGTACCAATTTTGATTGGTATCTTGCCGATCTTGAAACATTTGATGACGTGGATGCTTGTTTATAAAAGGTCTTATGAAATGTTTACGAAAATTTTACAGCTAAGTGGACAATAAATTAGACATCCACGTCATGAAATGTTACAAGAACAACAGGTTAACCGTCAAAATGGGTCAAAATTAGATTTTTTTTCAATTTTCTTACATTAAATAGAACTTTTTGAAACTTTATTACATCGATTGCAAAAAAGTTCCTTGTTACAATAAATAGGAACCAAGGCAAATCCCGTTGCATTTTGATGTATTTTGTTAGGTAAACATAATACTTGTTAATTCTGTGGGAACGATTTGATTTACTTTAGGAAGAGGAAGATCTTGTAATTGCTCACAGGAAACAAGTGGAGGAGACTATGGATATCGTTAAGGAGGTCAGTGACTCATCTTTTCGTTCTTACTAATGGCACATTGTGAATCTGTAACCAAATCAAACGAACCCAGTATATCTCACTCGAAAGTAAGGTCTATGTTAACTGTGATGTACATGTGCAGGAAATGAACCTGCTGGTGGAAGTAGATCAACCAGGAAATCAACTGGACGAATATATTACAAAATTGAACGTAATTCTCTCACAGAAAGCAGCCGGGATTCAAAAACTACAGACACGATTGCGTAATTTCCAGAAACGTCTAGAAGAATACAATGTTCTATCATCTGCTTCAGGTGGCAACTGATTCAACGAACCCGACCAAGGTGAGTGGCTCGTTTCTACCTTATTGTGTTAAAGATTCGAGTGTTTGAAGCGTTTTTCGTGGGTTTCAGTGTGAGTTATGTAACATGTGTAACTTGTGGTGATTTATAGAAATCAAAATGTCGTTTTGATTTGATTTAAGAAAACTTGTTATGCAAATGATGAAAAAGATCCCATTTGTTTTATTTATTCTTTTGGGTCTTTTTATCTTACCTTACTTTCTCTCTTTTGTCACACTTTTTATACGCATAGGGGTTTTGACAAAAACAACTGCTCTACTTTTTGGACTTTTTAGGGTAGAGGTCTGTTATGTTCTGCATACATCTTAAGAGCTTGTTTAGTTGGTTTTCCATTAAGTCATGCATTGATAAAGTTGTCTGTGTAGAGTGAGAACATTTGTGTTTGGAAGAGTTCTTTCATAGATGGTTCTCCTTAGAAACTTATTGAACAAACCACTTTTTATATCATTAAGCCACTATCAAACAATGATACATAACCGACCGAATAAGCTGTGAGTTCTATTAAACTCATTAAATTACTAACAAACATGTCGTTAATGCCCTTGGACCCCACCTCTAGATGGCTTTATTCTTTTGGGTCTTTATTTTATAATAATAATTGTTGAGATAATGAAAGGGAATGTAATCTTGATGTCCAAACTAGAAAAGTGCATATGACAAGATTTTGTTGGTAGGAAGGAAGGGTAGGGTTGCCATTTTAATCACATGAAATTAGATGTTAATTTAATTAGGGTTTATGATGATCACTTTTGACCAACTTGGTTATGTGGGTGGGGTATGAAGGTGGATTGGTGGGGAAAGTATACACATGTTTCTATGTCACCTTTCCTTAGTTTTTGTTATCCCTCTAATCAATGAATTGTGAAGTATTATAATATTTGTATATCGTTTTAACTTTCATCCAATTGTCTGTTTTATCGTTAACACTTCGACCCATTCAACTAGCTGGCCTGTACAAAATTTTTGTAGTTATAGATTGTTGGAGACACTTGGTGTGGCAACTCTCGAATTTAACCACCCGACCTTTGTCCTATCTGTTAATTAACCTTGACGTATCCGACCCTTCATCCTTCTGAATCATAGAATTTAGGATCTTTGACCTATAATGTTGACTCCTTGTTAATACGTTCCCTGTTGAAGTTGCACTATAGGTACTCGGTCTTGGAAGTGCTAATGCACAAGCTTCGTTTTCTAGTCTCACCCTATAATAAAATAATAGAGTAAACTACAAATTTGGTCCATGTGGTTTGTCAAAAGTAACACTTTTTGTCTTTATAGTTTTGAAATTACAAGATAGCTATCGTAGTTTGTAAAAACGTCCAAATTTGGTCCCTTTATCTAACGGCCGTTAAAGAACTCTGTTAAATGAAAGGCTTTTGCGTTTTTTATCAATTTTTTTGTCTTTTACCCTATCAAACACCACAAGGACCAAAATCATAAAATTGATTTTGATAGAGTAAAAGACAAAAATTTGATAAAAAAAAACCCCAAATGTCCCTCATTTAACGGATTTTTTAACAGTAGTTATACAGAGGGACTAAATTCGAACGTTTGACAAACCATGTAAAATAAATTTGTAGTTTACTCAAAGTTATAATCTAATGATTGATCATTTTTTAAATTTTATATCTACTTATATTATCATTGTAATTATTTAATAGGTTTAAATTCATTATGACATCCACTTAAATAAATAAATAAAAAACTATTTTTATGAAATATTTGATATAATTTAAAAGAATTAATAACAATATGATTATCTAATATATAATACATAGGTGGTGTGGTGGTATAATAGTAGTTTTTGATTTTTTTTATCATTAAAATATGAGTTTAAAAGCTTGAATAAAAGACAAAAAAATTAAAATAAAGATATATAAAAATAAATATATCCCACCAAAAAAAACCAATGGAAAATCAGTGGGATCACGAAAGTATTCGATTAAATAACTGAAGTTAAGTAGAGACAATATGATCTACTCATCAAAAAGAAACTTGTGATCCTGTTCGTAGTTTAATTGGAAGGTGGGGGTGCTGATGTAGTTAAAGCAAAAGTTATTGGAAGGTTTTGAGGTAGAACGTGTGTGTGTGTAATTCAGTAATTCTTCATTTTTCAAGGAATTTACTAAACAAGAGACATTTCAAGGTTTCATCTCGGATCTACCTTTTAGATCTCGTTTTTTTTTTTTTTTTGTCTTTCGCAAGATTATAGTGAATGAATCTGGGACCATAGATAAATATTTTTACACCAATTTTAAAATTTAATTATTTTTCTTTTGTACTCTAAAATAAACTTATATCCAAATGCCATAATCAAAAACGTTATTTGTTATTTAAGTTTTGATTTAAAACCTGGTACTTGAAAAATGCAAATAAAGTATTACATTTGATAAAATGGACAAACATTTCATACCGAAAATTACCCATTGAAGTTGTAACTGATTTTTTTTATATGTGCTTAGCAGATACAAATGTGTAAGGGGTAAACCCATTATCAATAATTCTTTTGACCTTTGAGATAAAGTATGAATACAAATTTTTTATCAGTTATTCTTTTAACCGACACTTTAATAGATAAGATATTAATAAATGAGGGTCTAACGTTGCCAAATAATGAAAGAAACAAGTCCAAGGGCCAAGTAGTAATTCAATGAAAGATGTAGACTTAAGTGTATGTTTGTCAAACACTAAATCTATAAGAATCATAAAATCAATAAATTTATTAGTCGAACAATGTCATGTACATTAAGATAAAATAGAATGTGTATCGACTTATTGGTGTGTCAGGTAAAGTTTTGAAGTCTGATATATTTTTATTGTTTTAGTTTTGTCTTAATTCAGTGTGGAATGGAATAAACTAGTGATGTTTATAGATTCAACAGTATGCTATTAACTTTACTTTTCAGTTCAGTTTAGGTTATATGACTTTTGTTGTATGTTTGATTTAAGTATTTGGAATTTTGTGTGATGGTATGGTGTTAATTATCATGATTACCAAGTTAGGTATGACTTTTACACTTTTCATAGTGAAAGTAATGGTGGTGTGACAAATTATGATGATGTGAATGTGGTAGCTTGTAATCGTTTGTATTCACACAGTGGGTATAAAGTTCTTACAGTGGTGGTGCAAGTGCATGTCGACACCATGATCACTTACAAGTAATAAAGTGATAAAGTACCGAGATCGTTTTCACATGAATTGAACTACTGAGAATCGGAGAGTTTCATGAACTTCTTGAGTGTGTTTCGGTTTGTAATTAAAAGTTGGATTTTTGTTGGTGAAAAGCTTTAAAAGACGAAATAGACTCATAAATAAAAGATGGGCATAAGTGCAAGTATTTCTCAAGACAAAAACAACAATATAATTATCAGAAACTTATGAGATGTTTATAAAAATTTCAGTCTCTCGAAAGTATAGATAGTGCCCACAAAGTTCCACTTCCACCACTCCGAAGCTTGCTGATTTAGCTAAGTAGAAAAAGAAATGTTAAACCAAAAATTCATACTCAAATCTCCAATATTTGAACCTTAGCTAAAATACATACAAAATTCGTATCTCTACGTAATTATCAAAGACTTTGGGGCTGTTTACCAAAATTTGTGGATAAGTACTGACTCGGTAAGAGGTCTGATTGAGGTAAGAGGTCTGACTGAGATAAGTACTTACTGAAAATTCTCTTGTTTACTAAACGTTTTATATCAAGCATAGATTGAATAAAAAGACTATTATACCCTTATGTCTGAATTTGTGTTTTTTTGACATTTTTCAAAATACCATGTGATTTAGAACATCCATTTTTCCTTCCAAATATGAAAAATTATATAATTTGAATTTATCAATCTTTCCCATCACCCATTCAGCCTAGAAGCCTACTCATGGTCCTCAACTTACACATGTCCCTAAGCAATAAAGAAAGCTTTCAACTGATCTGATGGTCTTGAGCTCACACAATCAATAATGGAGAAAGAAAGAAAAAGAAAAGAAAGCATCCCAAGTAATCACATGTAATCACGTAAAGAAAGCAGCCCCCTCCCTGGTTGAGTCTCCCGATCTCGTCTCTGTTGAAGTGTTTTATCTCAATATTTGTGGAGGAAGAAGATGATTATGTAATGGAGCATTGTTTGAAGACAGCTACAGAGAAAGAAAGAAAGCAGGTTTAGGTTTTGGAAAGGGTAAATAAGTGAAAGTTGACCTCTTACCAGGGTAAGATACAATTTCCTCTCTGATGGTGGTAGGTGCACGATCAGAGATGATTGTCAGTTTTTCTTATTGGTAAACACTAGCACCTCTTACCCCCAGTAAGATTTTTGCCGGTAAGAGGTGATAAGCTACTAGTAAACAACCCCTTTCTCAAATATTTGTGCATCATTTAAGCCGTATTTCAAATCCGTCCATCTCTTCGTCAAAGTTTTAATATTAACACTTTAAAATGGTCGGCTTATCCACATTGAGTTTTAGTCCCGACTTAAGTGATCAAGTTTACGAAGTTGTAAACAATGAAAACACCCAAATGTTGCTTATAAATCTTACGTTAACTCACACCCACACCCACAGAAGTAATTAGCTCATAATAGACATGAAAAACATAATATAAGACAAAAAATGACACTTAAATGAAACTTTCATTAAAATAGAACAACAGTCTGCCGCCACAGTGGTGAAGCTGTAGGCAGAAGATTACAACTAAGAAACTTAATACAAGAAAATTAAATGCTAAGACTTAAAACTTAAAAGTAAATGTGGAGAGACTTCAGTTGAAATGAGATGCTTTTCAAATGAACTCAAGGTTTCTTTATACAGGGGAGAAAATGATAAGGATCACCATCTTTTACCCATAAGAAAAACGAGCCCTTTAACGTCTTGTGGTTAAAGAGTCAACTCACCTCCCTCTTTTATCCAAAACTCAAATTTCTAACATGGCACCAGCTGTAGACAACTCTTAGAAAAGTCTTCAAGAAAACTTCCTCCAAAAAGTTGATTCTTATCCAAAAAGTTGGAATCTTTCCCTTGTGATGACACTATGGGCACAGTCTCAAAGTGATGGTTTTTGGAATAAATTTCATCCTTTGTGTTTCATCATTTTTTTAAAATTTTTGGAATAAACGGAGAAAAATAAGGGAAATTGAG